GACAGGTCTGTGAAAGGAGATGGGGACAAGACTCTTGTGATTCAAGAGTAATTGTTATCATGACTAACTGCAATTGTCACAACTGTAAAGGTAGAAGTTTTGTATCAAAAAGGGGTGAGTGATCGATCTTACAGTCCCAAAGCGGAGGAGCCCGGGACCATCACGGGAGTGGAGTGTGGGACCCTATCCAGAGACGCAACAACACCAGAGATGGAGGCTGAGATGATGACATGGAGAGACGGAGCAGCTGAGGACTCTAGACTCATGGAGGGAGAGGGGATGTGTGTTGGTGGCCTGGGGGCAGGCTTACAGGGTGTGCCCTTTGGCTGTGTGAATGACTGTGTATTCCTGAGTGTTTTGGTGTGCACAAAAAAAAACAGGGAATAGAAGCCAATAATGTTGAATGATGAAGCATGCATGGGATTGTAATTATTGCAATGAAACGAATACAAAATACAATAGGATGAGTGTAAAACTGATGTTCCCCCATGTAAACTATGACTCAATTCACAATAAAAAATTAAAATAAAATAAAGGCAATTCGTTAGTGAGTGAAATTGGAACTTTTACCACTACACTTTCCAACCAGACTGAAAGAAATTGTTAACCTAAGAGCAAAAACGTCCAGCAGGGCAGATTCTAAAACGTGGTACAGAGTAGTGGACCATCCAGAGCTGCAATTTCAGAATCGACTTGGCAAGGCCAGGTTCAAGCTCAACTTCCCAGCCACTTGTAAGCATCTTGCAGTGAAAAAAAAAGGTCCTCCACAAAACCAATGGACACAGGAGCTGCAACAATGGGATGGTGAGGATGGGGCAGGACTGGGCAGTGTTTTGATTTGTTGCATGTGGGACCACTATGAGTCAGAACCAACTCCATGGTCCTAAACACCAGCATAGGTGATGAAGATCCACACTCTTTCTGCTCATGACAAATGCTACTCCACAGGAAAGAAAATTGTGGGCTTCTGAAGCAAAGTGTTGAAGACGATTCACAGCTCACTGACGATTCTCAGTTCAGTTCTGCCAGCAGATGGCCACCATCTGCTCCCAACTGATGCAGGAGGCAAAACCCTGAACTTTGAGCCAACTTGCCTGGATATGAATCTCATCAATGTGGTTTACAAGCTGTGTGAACTTAAGCAAGCCACTTTGCTTCTCCTAGCGAGCGCTTTCACAACAGCACAATACAGTGATGGTGTCCAGGCCTGTTCCCTCACCAGGCACAGCCTTTCTGCTGTGACAGTACTTACTTTAGTCAGTTTTTTCAGCTATAAGTGGTGGGTCACCCTGGACATAGCTGTAGCTGACATTAGGGCATGACTGTTGCATCATAATTAAAGCCAGAAAAATACATTTTGAGAATCAAGCAATTTGTGCTGCAATTTCCGCATCGGTGGAGAAAGTGCCAATGAGATTTGTCAGTTCTATCCTTGTTCCACTGCTATTGTGTCAATTCCAAGTTGGAGTCAGGAGCCTCCCATATATCCACCCATCTTCTGCCCCTGTTACTTCAGCGGAGGGGTCCTCAACTTCTCTTTCCTTACCACACAAACTTCTCTTTCACATCACCAGTGGTAACAGCAATTAACCACAGAAGGGAAGTAGAGGAAGGTGGGGTTCCATCCATCTAACCCACTTAAAGAGAGGTACTGAGTCAGACCAGGGCAGGCTAGGGACCCACAGGTGGGGTTTAAGAGAATAACATGAGAAGATTCTGCTTAAGCTGGAGATGGAAGCCCAAACCAATCCATGCACACCTAATGTGGACAAGGCCCCCAGCCAAGGGTGCATGTGGGAGACAGGCCAGACTTGCAGGACTAAAATTTCATCCCACTTAGTTTTAAGGGCTGTTTCCCTCACAGGGACATGAGAGTTAATTAGTCAATGCATGGCAGCTCTTTGGATAGCTCTTCCATCAGTATGGACCATCACCAAGATCAAAAACAAAACCCACTGCCATGCAATCAATTCTAACTCATAGCAGCCCTGCAGGTCAGAGCAGAACCACTTCATAGGGTTTTCAAAAATATAAATCTTTATGGAAGCAGACAGCCTCATCTTTCTGCCATAAAGTACTAGTGGGTTTAGACTGTCGACCTTTTGTTTAGCAGCCCACCACTAACTTAGCTTCTTCCCAAGATGCATTACAGAGAAACTGTGGCAGGAGGTTGAGTGATCTACCACTCTGTAAAAAGCCTGACTCCCTGCCTTGAATCAGAGAAGTAGAAAGCATCTGAACCTTGACCAACCCTTCCCATCTGCCTTCCTACCAAGGAGCTGGCTGACACCTTCCTGATGTCCAAGCAGGGTTCTAAGAGAGGACTCCCGACTAAAAGAATCCAGGCAATGACCAACACAGCATTTCTGTCCCCCAGCAACAATAGGGCAGTCTACTGCCTGGTTCTCTCAGGAAGGATCCACCCAGGGTGAGCATGTGAGCAGACGCACACCACAAAGGAGAAAAACACCTGACCAGAGGGAGGCCCATCCTTACTGCCAACTGAAGTCACTCAGTGGAGCCAGGCTTTTCCAAGGTCACTACAGACACTGCTGGTGGCTGCTGCACAGCTCTAATGGGGAGTCATGGAACTGAAGAGTTACTTGGCTCCCTCAAACAAAGCGGTTCCCTCACAACTCAGACCTAAGTGGGTCTTCCAGGAAGCCTGCTGTACCAGGTATGCCCCTGGGCTCCCATCTAGTGGGGCTTAGTACACTATATGAAACATGCGCCGACTTACACCTAGCAACGACTTCTACATCTAACCAACCCCACTGCTACTGGAGTCAAGTGAGACACTCATACTCTATGCAACAGAGCTTAACTGCTCCAAAGAGTTTCTGAAACTGTCACTCTTTATGGAAGCAAACAGTCTCATCTCTCACAGCGCACTGGTTGAGTTTAAACCACTGACTTTGCTGTTAGCTGCCAATGTCTTTCACAGTGCTACTATTGCTTCCACACCAGATCCCTCCTAAATAGAAGTACTGTTTGTTCTGTCATTTGTGTATTCCTGGAGCTGGGCATACAGCAAGCACTCGCAGACACTGTATGAATTGCTACTACCCAGCTAGCTGCCAATCCCATGGAACCATGAGGAAAAATGACATCGGTCATTTGTACCAATCCAGGCAGGAGATGCTAAACTTGGAGGCAGTCGACCCCACAATAGACGGTGCTTTACCTCTCAGAACCCAGTGAACACATCTGACAAAACTGGGGCCCTGAGACAAGATGACATCAGGCAGTGAACACTTAATGACAAGAGTATTGTACCATCCTTCACAGGTGCTTCTGTCTTGACTTCCTTCCTCCTGGGGCACTCACACTGGACACCCTGCCCCCTAGAAAACAGTGAGCAACCAGCTCTAACAGGGACACAGGAAAAGGATCACTGGAGACTCTAGATTGAGGATAGACAGCAGGGTAGTGGGGGTGGCAGGGAGGCATAACATCCCATGCCAATGGCAAAACACAAAGCCCAAAGATGCAGTGGTGTGGCCAACTCCCCTAAACACACACACCCCCCACACCCCTACACCAACCCAAACACCATACATACAACACAGCACAGCACACATCACTCCACAGTGCCCCAAGCCTCCCTCTACACAGCAGATAGCCCTGGGCCTTGTGGCCTTCACAGGCTTCCATAAAAATCTACTAAGAATTATACTCTTGGTATAAAGATAAATGCTGTATATATTACTACTTAATCTTTTTCAAGTTTTGTCCTACCAAAAAGGACTTTCTCCCACTGGATTTTAAATATAAGTACATCGTCTATGGGCTTCTGAAAAGGTTTTGTGGGTCCCAAACAAGCACAGTGCTTTCTGTAGCTATTTGATCAATTAGCCCTTCATCTGGGGGATGTGCGTGATTGTCTTGGTGCAGTTCAAGGTGCGATATACCAGAAACCCAAACTCATTGCCAAGTTGATTCACAATAATCCTATAGGGGAGAGTATAACTGCTCCATAGAGTTTCCGTGGCCATCAATTTTGACAGGACACTGCCTCATCCTTCCCGCCGTGACACCAGGAACAAGTAGAAATCAAACTTTACCATGGGCCTCCTCATTCTCTATTACAGACTTACTTATAAAAACCCAAGTTCCAGAAACGCTGCACCGTTGTCGGAATATCATATACAGAGCACCCCTAAGTGCCCGGCGCTCTTCCGGCGTCGGTCTCCGTTCTCAGGAAGCTGGCTTCCGGCACTCCTAATACTTCCTCTGAGCTCTTCTCTGAGCTGGGTTCTTCCAAGTGCAACAACTCCTAAATGACTAGATCAGCGCTGCCGCCTTACCGCCAAGGAGTTCCCAGGCCTGAGATGCTAGCAAGAAGTCAATGTGGGGCGCAAGCCTGGAAAATCAGGTGCCTGAACCCCCAACCTCCCGAGACCCGGCACTGCAAGGATACGCCCAAGCGGAGCACCTCCTATCTAAAGCCGCAACAACAAAAATCCCTGACACTGAGTCGATTTCAACTCACAGCGACCCTACAGGAGAAAGTAGGATTGCTCCACAGGGTTTTGGAGCTGTGAGTCTACGGGACGGCCTCATCTTCCCCGCCCCCTAGCCAGCGGCTGGTGAGATTGAACCTCAGTCTTTGAGGTTCCCCGCCCCCTAGCCAGCAGCTGGTGAGATTGAACCTCTGTCTTTGAGGTTAACTGCCCATAGCCTAATCCGCTGCTCCACCAGGACTCCTTAAAGCTCCCCACCCCAAACTTAAGCCGAGCCACAGCTAGCATTCTCGCTTTCATTAACCTCAGAACACGCAGCTTCCAGTAAAAGTAGGTCCGCAGTGGACACCCGCAACACAAAGTTCCAAGATATATACAACAGGCGTTCGGGAGCCAGATAAACACTCAGCTAGGGACTGAACGGGAGGCGCGCGGCTGCCCGACAGTCAGGCCCCGGCTAGTGCGTGATGAAAAGGGGTCCCGGGAAGACCCTTGCCACGCCCTCAGCCCGAGCCCCGTACCCACGGCGCCGCGCACCTGGCCGCAGAGGCTCGGTGACGGTAAGCACGAGCAGGAAGAGCAGCAGGAAGGCACCGCTGTCTGCCTTGGGCATCATTTATCCTCCGTTCATCGTCCCTGGGGAGGCCGCGAGACCCCCGCGGGGAGGCCGGACTGGGCCGGGCTGAGGGGCTGGACACCAAGAACCGACGAGACACGGTTTAATAGGGCCGATTGCTCTAGGCCCGCCGACAGGCGTGCGCAAACTCCTGGTCCGTCTCGGTTCTGACTCCGGGTCCGCACAAGATGGCGGCCGTCGCGTTCGGCGGCGTACCGCGACGCCCCGCCTCCCGCCGCGACGCCAGCGTGGGCCAGTAGGCACAGAAAAGGGGAGGGAGGTGCGATCTTGACTACGTGCCCACCATTGGCTAATCATAGAGGTGGGGTCTGTGAAGGGGTGGAGCCTACGCGGCAGTACACAAAAAGAGCGAGTCCCAAAAGGAAGGAACATCGGCACTGACGGAGACTAAGGGGCGTGTCCAAGCAAAAATTGCAGCGCTACGAGCAGTATGGAGTCCAGTTGTGGCGTTGCGGGTTAATTAATGCGGTCTAAGTCGGTTTAACCCTCAGGGTCGCCACGAGTAGGAACCGACTCAACGGTACTTAACAATGGGCATTAAAGAGTCCTATTAACTAAGCAGAGAGGTAGAACTCTGGAGCCGGACTCGAACCGCAATACTTCCTAAAGGCCTGGGGATCTCAAGGTCTAGGGGAGGGGTCTCGGAAGAGGGAGCGCAATGACAGACCCAGAAATGGGCAAGACACAGAGGGGTGGGGCCGCGAGGCCTGGGAGCAAAAGACGCGGTAGGCTTGGGCGGGGCTGGCCTGAGGAGCACAGCCTGAGAGGAAAAGACTGGATGCGGAGGGACTCCGGGCAGTAGATGAACTAGCACACAAGACTGGAAGGTCTTCGCACCTTGCACACCTGTAAGTCCTATCAGCAGCCAAATAAAATCAAAACCAAAACCAGTGCCAAGAAGTCAATTCCAACTCATAGCTACCATGTAGGGCAGAACTGCTCCAGAAGGTTGACCACGATGTAAATCTTTCCGGGAGCAGGTTGGTTCAAACAAGTGACCTTTGGGTTGGTTAGCAGCCCAACATTTAACCCACTGCGCCAGTATGGCTCCTATTTAGACTCATAATGATTCTAAATATAGTATACAGTAGAACTGCCCGATAGGATTTCCAAACTTGTGAATCTTTATGGCTTTATGCCTTTGTCCTCAGTACTTCACATCTTTGTCCCTTCCCTCAAGTGACCTTTTTGTTAGCAGGAGAGCATTTAACCATTGCAGCACCAGGACTCATAATCTGACTCTCTGTTGGGTGCCATAGGGTCAGCTCTGACTTATAGCCACCATGTATAGGGTTTCCGCAGCTGTTAATCTTTTAAGAGCAGAAAGCCTCATCTTTCTTCTTAGAACAGCTGGTGGATTTGAACTGCTGATGTTGTGTGACCTCATGCATAACATAAGGAAACACTGCCTGTCGTGCATCATCTCCACAATTGTTAGCGTTTGAGCCCAATGCTGCCGCCACTGTGCCAATCCAACCACTTGAGGTCTTCCTCTTTTTCGCTGACTCTCCACTTCACTGAGCTTGATGTCTTTCTTCAGGGACTGGTACTTTCTGACATGTCCAAATATGATAGACAAAGTCTTGCCATCCTGGCTTCTAAGAAGAATTCTGGCTGAACTTCCAACAAAGATCTGTTTGTTCTGGCAGTCCATGATACTTTCAGTATCGTCCTCCAATTCCCTAATTCAAATGCATCAATTCTTCGGTAGTCTTCCTTATTCACTGTGCAACTTTCACATATAAAGCTATTGAAAACACCACGGCTTGAGTTAGGCGCACTTTAGTACTCAACCTGATATCACTAATGTGGAACATTCAAAGTAGTCTTGTGTAGAAGATTTTACTAATGCAGTATGTCATTTTATTTCTTGACTGCTGCTTACATGAGTGTTGATAGTGGATCAAACAAAATGAAGTTCTGACAACTTCAATCTTCCAGTTGGTAGGATTTTTTTTTTTCTTTTCTTTAAATTGAGGTACAATCCATACTGAAGGCTATAGTCTTTGATCTTCATCAGTAAGGTTTGTTGTTAGGTGCCCTCTAATAAGTACCTATTTGAGTTATGGTGTTGGAGGAGAATATTGAAAGTTCCATGGGCTGCCAAAAGAACCAATAGATCCGTTCTGGAAGATGTGCAGCCGGAGTGCTCCTTGGAGGCCAAGATGACCAAACTTCGTCTCTCATACTTAGGACATATTGTCAGGAGGGACCAGTTGCTGGAGAAGGGTATCATGTTTGGTAAGGTGGAGGGTCAGAGAAAAAGAAGAAGACCCCCAACGAGATGGACTGGCCAACAGGCAGTATCGATGGACTCAAGTGTGGCAACGATAGTGAAATTGGCCCAGGATTGGTCAGTGGTTTGTTCTGCTTGGCATCAGGTCACTATGAGTCAGTACTGACTCAATGGCACCTAACAACATGTTACAACATAGAGACCCCATGCACAACAGAACGAAACACTACCCCAACCTACACCAACCTTACAATCATTGCTAAGCTTCAGCCCATTGTTGTTGTCACTGTTCCAACCCATTTTGTTAGGGATCTTTCTCTTTTTCGCTGAC